TCACTCATTTTTCTCTGATTTTCTTGTTTGCAACAACCTTAGAGATCTTTGAGGGATATATATCAACAGAAAATCTTCAGATTTTTCTCTAAAAATCTCTGTTTAGTGTTTATTAAAAGGTAAAAATGTTACTCTCTTCCTATATTCTCTTCACATGTTTTCTTTAAACATCCACTGTTTTCTCTCTTGCTAATCCCACTGTTTATGGGTTCACTGAATCTCGGGTTTCTACGTTCAAAATATCATATATTTTTCATATGCAGGATTCGTCGTGGGTTTTTCGTAATTTTGACGAAATGGCATTGGGGAAAAAGAGATTAGGTGGTGCTGCGAAATCATCATCAAACTCGAATCGAAACCTATATGGNGATGGAGGATTAGGGTTAGAGTTTATTAAGCACAAGAGAGGATTTGGGAAGAAGAGAATCTACGAAAATACATTGGGGAAAAGTCGAGAGCTTGAAGCTCTTCCTCAAGATATTTTGGTTCGTCTTCTTACATATTAATCTCTGAAACTCGATTTAATCGAAAATCCTTTATAAAAAAAAAAAAATCGATTTAATCGGTTTTATATTACCTAGTTGATTTTCTCGTGTTTTTGTATTAATGATTAAAGCGAATAGAGCTGAAAGTTGATTCCTTTAGTGGAAATGGAAAGTTGAAATGTTTCGAATCGATTGGGTGAGATGTTGAAGTTACTAAGAAATTTTTCATTGGTTTAATTACAGGTAAATATTATTTGTGGAGTGGAGCATGAAGACTTAAAACAATTGTTTAATGTGTCCAAGACTATAAGAGAAGCTGTAAGTATATGGAATTTTTAGTATTAGACAGTATATTGAAATCTTCATGACAAAAGAAAGTGATTCTGATATAATTTGTTTCCTGTTGTAGACATTGATCGCAAAGGAATGGCGTTTTGAATACAAAACACCAAGGAAAACTCTGTTTTTCCGGGGTGGGATTGATTCGATGATCGATTTGGAAGATGAAATCCAAGCTCCATTGCTGAAAAAGCATCGCCTTTCAAGGATAACCTGCCACAAGAAAGTTTCGAAAATCGCAATGGCTCTTTTCAAATGAATCTAATGACTTGGTTTTGAGGATCAAGTCTTTGCATCCTTGTTGTTGTTAGAAACCTAGTCGACACTAGAAATGATCACACGATCCGGTTTCTTCAAGAGATTTTGTTGAAGAACCGGTAAAAATTGGAGTCTTCTTTAATGTTCTTCTAGGGGGGTTTCGTTTGATAGGTCTTGTAAATTGTTGGTAGATAAAAAGAGTAAATGATAGGTCCTTTGAAATGCTGAGCTTGGGCCATTTGTGTAATGTATATATTTATTACTTTCTATGGTTTGGCAAAGAGAATTGACAAGAGATAAAACCATTGATTTTAACTCTTTCTATGTCTTTTGATAAAACTTTGAAGTATTTATCCCAACGAGCAACAACATAGAGATGGAGACAAAATAAGCCAATAACAAACTCAATTATTGTGATTCGTGTGTAGGTGAGAAATTTATTACATATGAGAATCTAGATATGTCACAATCATTTGAGAAAGCTCAACTTTTGATTAGGGGAGAAAGAATCTAATATATAATTATTTAGTTCGCAAGGCTCTTTTGGCCCTATTAACAAGTCTAGTTACGCTAAAAAAAAAGCTTACTAATCATCACAGCCAATTTCATGAACCATAATATAGGCATTAAGTTCATTGAACTTCTCTCTAATGTTCATAATTATCACAGCCTCAATTTCTTCTATAAAACTTCTGACTTTAAAATTACGATTACATAGACATCATTAAATAAAGTCATCGAAACAAAGACATTATATGGAGCCATTGATAGACTTCAAAATAAAATAACTCGTGAGAACAAATGACCGATAATAATAAAAAAAGAGATTGAAGTTACACAATGTGTTCTTTTGATAAGCCTTGTTCACTAGCATATCATCAAATATGTTGTTTTTGTTGTGATCAATTTTAATATGATGAGATCATCTTAACTATGATTCACAAATTTACACGATAAAATTTCAAAATCTTTATCGTAGGACAAACTGCAATGTTCGGGATTCGCAAGTGTGCAACAATATATCAATAAGTGTGAAATGCTTTCTTAACTTTTTTCTTTTCTTTCGAGACACAATAACGAAATCTTAAAACAATTGTAAAGGTAGAAAATTGTAATTTGTAAGTCAACAACAACACCCATTACTAGATTATCATAATCTAAAGACAATAAAAATGCCAAAAGATAACCGATTGAAAATTTGATGAAACGTCACAATCAAGTCTGAATTATTAAAAATCCTATGAGCATTAGAGCAAAGATGACTTACAAAGTACAATATTCATCAACATGCCATCCTCAAGCAATCTCGCCTATTTTCCGTATAAGTTTTCATATATTTTGTTTGCCCTATTTCTATTTTTCTCGATTGTTGCTTTGATTAAGATTAGTGTGCATATCTTACATGCCATGAATTCATTAAAAAAAAAACTCCCCAGTACTATTCCACCAACTTTCTCTGTTGATCTTGAAGGCAACAAAAATTATAAGTTATGTTCACTCGCTTAAATGACAAAAAACGATCCTTTGGAAGGAGCTTCCGGTTATTATATATAATTGTAATTATCTAATTATATTTTTATCATTGTTTTGTATTTTAAGTACACTTTAAGTCCGTCGTTTTTGGTTTCTTTGAATTGGATTGTAACAGTACT